GTGTGTGTGTGTGTGTGTGTGTGTGTGTGTGTGTGTGTGTGTGTGTGTGTGTGTGTGTGTGTGTGTGTGTGTGTGTGTGTGTGTGTGTGTGTGTGTGTGTGTGTGTGTGTGTGTGTGTGTGTGTGTAAATTTATGTACGTTGACAAATATTTTATACATATAATTTTAATTATAAAATTAATTTTGATTCTATTTACAAACACGTGAAAAATACGTTTCTTAAATTATTATTTTAAAAACGTTTCTTATTAATACACATTAAAACGTGTTTTATTGATGTTTAACAATTACAAAGCATTGGATACGTTTAAGAAACATATGAAACGAACACACTACCTGGCATATTTTGTATAAAATATACTTGTACAAAATCAGGCATGTTACCAAAGTCGCGATAAAGTCACGCTTTGACCGCTCAGCTGAGCGGCCGTCGTTGCGTTAAAAAACACGATCAAAAGGAATGCGTAAACAGCCGGGACGGAGCAAGGGCTTCCGGGAGCACATCTGGTCGGCAACCGACGTTTCGTGACATCAGCTGACTGCCCGGCACACCACGATCACGTGTCAATGACGGTGTGCATTCCGGCGCGCTTGTTTTTTGGCGTTTTCACGATTAGAAAAATATTCGACAAACAACATGTCTCGAGTATAAATAGCAGAGCTCCCGCCCGGAGTCTAGTCAGTTTTTTCTCAGTTTCTCCGAAAAGCTCTCAATTTTCTCGGTTTCGGTCGCTCGCGTTGCTTCGTCGCACCGTCACCTTGCCGTTCGTTTGCCGCGAACTTGCGATTACCAAATAATTATTGTACTTCTCCTTTTGTTAGTTTTCTTATAATTGTTAAAATAAAAAGTCTATTCGCTCAATCGTCTCTCAATCTGTCGATCCAACCGTCCGCTTTCGCTTCCACCACGACGCAACAATACTGTATAAAAGAATATTTCATTGAAAACTACTGAAATTGAGACACAGAATGTATTAACGGTGTGCGAATATTTGGAAGACCCCAGAAATAAAAAACGTCGCGTACTTAATTGGAGCCTTCCAAAAATGCGCATATAATTATTGCATACAAATGTTCAATTATTTGTCGTTGTACGTTTTGAATGAGCGTTATTGAATGTTTCATATTATTTAGCGACATGATCAAGGGAATGAGTGCATTTTAAAATACTAATAAAATGTAAAATTCCTTACATGAATATTAAGATTTTTACAAAGTTGAGCGCGACCGCACAATTGCATTAATTTTCGGAGAAGCACAGGCGTACAACCGAGTCGCAGCGGCAATGAGCCCTTCTCAACACACGCACCTCATCTCCAAGGCAGCAAAAACCCTGGGCGACGAGCAACAAAATCATTGGAGCTTGTACACTAAAAGAGGAGTACTGTGGCAGTCTCCCGCTCACATAAAAATACAAAAAGAACATACACTAACTACCTGGCCTGCTAGCGCAGTGGATAACGCGCACGCTTCAAGCTCCGGAGAACCTTGATTCGAATTCCACAGCGGCCAATATATTTTTCTGCCTTTAACGTGTACAGCTCCTCAAAACCACGCTACCGCCATATATATGTATATATATGTATATATACAGGGTGTCCCATAATAATCGCACCGGACCTCGTGGGCATGCAGGTAAAGCAGATAAAACTGAACAGAAAAGTCCTGTACCATTTTGCAAAATTCGCAATCGTTAACGAGATATTAATTTTTGAAGATCGGCGAATAAACGCGTATCAGTCCGCCTACCGCTGAATGCAAGCGCGCGGCGAGATACGACGCCCCACCGCTGGTAGTT